GGTCTTCAGAAGTTTTGGTTAAGAAATTCACTAACAATGGGTCTGAGCAACGTTCAGACAGTGATTTTAGTCTATTTGCCTTTTATAGCATATTTGTGATCAGGGTAAACAAAGTTTTTAAAAGTAATTAATGAGTGGATCAGAGGGGATACAATACACTTTATGTTTTTTGTAATCTACATTAGATAATGAACGGTTTTTAATAAAAAAAAGGAAAAAAACGCACGGTAAACCACTTATTCTATCATTCTGTCTTTTTTTTATTTTAGAAAAAATAACCAATTAAACATATTATTATCACTGAGCAAATTAAATCAGAAAGCAAAGAACATCCTTAACTTCTGTGCTAACTCTGCTAAAAATCTTGCTAGTTACATTGCTTAAGATCAAAATTGATTATGACTCTAATCCAAACAAACTATGATTAAAATGTTTTTTGTTATACCATTAATCAAACACGAAAATGTTTATTTAATCTCAGTAAAGGCAGGAAGACAAGGGTTTAAAAAAAATGACAATAATAATATTTAGGAAAGTGACACAACCATTTCTGTATATATGTGATATTTTCAATAATGGAAAAAAAAAACAGAATGAGCTATAGGTTTACATTCATGATCTTATTATAATTGATCATATTTATATCTCTGTTATTAAATTAGATAGCAGTTTTTATTAGCTTAGCTTAAAGAAACCTGTTTTATTTTGAAAAACATATGTTTCTGATAAAGTTAATTAATAAACTAACTTAACATTTTTATAGTTAAACTGTCTTATAAACTTGTCTCAAGAATTATATGTTAATTTTTAAAATGAGCTGAGTTAAACTATATCAAATTTCTTCTCTTTTCAGTCGGTCCACACACTCATTTCGGACTTCAAAGACCCTCATTCAGCTAAATACAAGGCAGCCCATGTTTTCTTTACGGACTGTGAGTAAACAGAAAATAAACACATTTTAATGTATGTTTTCAAATCTACTGGCAAAATATTGTCTTAATATGTTTATCTGCATCAAACTCATGGATGGTTATTGTGGAAAGAAGCTAAATTTATATTTAAGGCTCATTTAGATTAGAAATAAATGTCATCCATTGTATAAAATATGAAGTTTCTTTTATTTAACCATTTGGATTATTTCTTTGCTGAAATTAGTGTAAACAAGTGGAGTCAGAGGAAATAGTTTTTTTTTGTTTTCCCAGCCTGCCCTGATCCGCTCTTCAATGAGCTGGTTAAGAGCCGGACCTCTAAATTCACCAAGACTCTGACAGAAATCAACATCGCCTTCTTGCCCTACGAGTCTCAGGTAAACATCCAGCTAAACATCCATACATCAAAGTAAAGCATGAAGTCGTCTGCATAACAGCTGATTGTAGGTTATCAGGGCTTATACAGGAATGAATAACTCAAATTTAAGGCTTTTTAATGCTCTTAGAAATAATTTTAATGCCTCCAACAGGTAACCGTCGACAGGCTGCAGCCATGTCCCGAATTCCTCGTTTTCCAGCCACTTTTATTTAAATTTGCGTTTTTCCCCCCATTCTCTAGCTTTTTCTATCGCTTTGCGATCAACCGGAAGCAGTTCCACACAAATATATCGCGATATAATATGTCTGACGAAAATGCTTTTATAAACATTTCTTTTAATAAAGCATTTTAAAAACCACAATAAACACATTTAATGAATTTTAATGCCAATTAAGGCCTTCATTTAAAAAATAATAATTTAATGATTTTTAATGACCCGTTGAAACCCTGGTTATGCATCTTGTGATTCGGATCTTATCATAATGACAATAATGTAATTGTTTTTTTTAAAAACGGATCTCTGTTGTAAATGAGACACTAAGTCTCAAGAGATTTTCCTGTCTACATAAGGACTTAAATAAAACTTAAATAAAGATAACTTAGCTGGTTATTAAATACCAAAAAGAATGAACATTTCACTCAAAATTCCCTCATACAATATTGGATGATACTTATAATGCAAACAGGTATTTCATCATAAGTATGCTCCAATAAATATTGTTTTCACTTTGCTGGGGAAACCATAGACAAAAGAAAGATAGAGAGATAAAAAAATTAAACAGGAGCAGATAAACCCCAACCGCATCACAGAGGAACAAACTACCTCCTATCTTCATCCAGGTGAACAATACCTCCTTTAACAACCAACCTTCAGAATCATAGACAGCTTTCAGATATTACAGGCTAACAATGGAACCAAACGACCCGTTCGTCGGTTTCGATTTGCATGTTTCCAAGCAATACAAGGCCTTGTCTATATAAAGACTCAAACTCACTGCGGATCCAGACATTTGAATTGAGAAAGCTTCCTGGAGAGGAAGTGAAACGTCTTCAAACCTTGGAAATCAAGTCCGGTGGATTGTTTTTTAAACTTTTACGGAAGGAGCAGATAAAGATCAAATGCATACAGAGAAGAGACGACGCCATGAAGGACACAGACAGAAATACTAGCTGTGAGGTTGTTTTTATTTTCTGAGATCGATAGGAACGCAAACACAGGCTCAGGTGGTGGATGCTGAGTCATGATTCACAGTTTACCAGCAGACTGTTCCAGAAAGACACGCATTTGTCACAGTGACTTTTTTCCCTCCCTACTGCCTTCCTACTCCCTCGCTCTGTGTCCTTCTCTAATGTCCCTCCAGCCAGCTTTTTTATCCCAGTTACTGGACACTGCTAATACGCTCATCCCTACTTTTGCCACTTTAAATCTTGCTATTTTTGCCTCATCCTTCCACCGTTAACTCATTCTCTCCATTCTCTGTAATTCTTGTGACCCACAATGCTTTCCTCCTCTCCTGTCAGCAATGATTAATTCAGAGTCAGTGGTTTACTGCTGGAGGCAAAATGCTCTCTGTCCCGCCTACCTAAAGCAGATTGCATTCATTTTATTGGATGAGGATGGATCTACACAGCAGTTTGTAGCCAATGATTGTTTAGCCAATGCAGGGGACCCTTCTGCAGAACAGACATGGTCATGTGATTGTGAACAGATGGGGTGGGAGGAAGGAGAGGAACCAACTAGAGGTGGATGATAGAAAAGGTGACATAGAGAGAATAGAGCAGAAAAATCAGATGTTTAAAGAAAACGCTCTGGTTTGAGAAAATGAAATGCAATAGGTTATGTTAAAGGAGCTAAAAAAAAAAAAAGGTAAAATGTTGAGATAAAAGCCTGAAATGCATTAAGATATTGTCTGTGCAGGTGTACTCTCTGGACAACCCAGATGCCTTCCACAGTTTCTACAGCCCTCACAAGGCCCAGCTGAAGAACCCAGTAATGGAGAGGCTGGCTGAGCAGCTGGCCACGATCTGCGCCACCCTGAAGGAGTACCCGGCTGTCAGATACCGAGGGTGATTTGCCCTTTATAGGTCAAATTCAGGAACCATACATCGTCGCACTATGGACACTACTGTCTCACTTAGACAGGAGCTGATAAACACATAGCTCACTGTATTTAGTTCCCTATAAAAGGAGAGAGTCTGTTTGAAACGATATTTAAAACATGCCTTGAAATCTTTGATCCTGCCTAATCTGAACAAATACTGGAATTATACAGCCGGATTTACAGTTGGGGATAAAAACTGCATATCTTTATAAAGTCTAATGTGCATATGTAGCACACAGCATATGCAAAACAGAGAAATACATACATTTCTTTCCACTGTGTAATACTTTAATTGATTTATCCATCCGTTTGCGCTCTCTTAGGGAGTACAAGGACAATGCCACCCTTGCCCAGCTGGTTCAGGACAAACTGGACGCCTATAAGGCTGATGACCCCACCATGGGAGAGGTGAGCCTGAGCAACTTAAACAAACATCCCTTTAAAGGTGTCATTATGTAATTAATGGGTGTGAGTTTATATCTTTTTGCAGGGTCCTGATAAGGCCCGCTCACAGCTGATCATCCTGGACCGAGGTTTCGACCCGGTGTCACCCGTCCTACACGAGCTCACCTTCCAGGCCATGGGCTACGACCTGCTGCCCATCGAAAACGACGTCTACAAGTGAGGGAAAAAAAACAGCAGGAATGCAATCAATAAAAAGCGTAATTAGGGCCAAATTGGAGGCTTAAAATTTCTTGGGCTGTCTCATCCTCCCGCAGATATGAGACCAGTGGTATCGGAGACTCACGTGTCAAGGAGGTTCTTCTGCATGAAGACGATGACCTGTGGGTGAGCCTGAGACACAAACACATAGCCGAGGTGTCCCAGTAAGTACTTTTCTTTATCAAGCTCTAATTTACAAAAAAATCCAAACTTGCGGTGTTATTTTAATGGCATTTATTTTCTTTGTGCTATGAAATTAGGGAAGTCACACGTCAGCTAAAGGACTTTTCTGCCAGCAAGAGGATGAACACTGGTGAGAAGGTAAGGACAGAAATAAACAACAGCTTATAGAAAAATACTGTAGGATAAAATAAACGACAATACTTTATATATCATGGGTATAAGGATAAGAGTATTCCTACAGGAATTATTTGCAAAAGTCTTCGTTTTTGTAATTACAAGTAGACAGAGATGGGAAGTATAGAAGTACAAATACTTTGTTACTGTACTCAAGTTGATTTTTCTGATATTTTTACTTTACTTTACTACTTATTTTTATGGTGACTTTTTACTTCTACTCCTTACATTTTTACACAAATAAAAAAATTTGGCTCGTTACTTTAGTTTTGAATCATTTCAATGGAGTTACCGTTATTATTTTTCACGTCATCAATACCAAATTCAATCTAATTGGATGGGAATCTACGTTGCATTTGACGCACCACTACAAGATGAATCGACAGATTCGGCGGTATTCATTGCCGGCAAATCATTGCAGCTTGGTGGCGGTGGCGTTAGCATAGTAGCATGGACGACGAGATGATTGAAAATGAACAAAACAGAGATCTAGTCCTATTGGCAGACATCCATTTAAAATGTAGGCAACGGCATGAAAAAAGTGGTTTCTACTTTTACTTTTATACTTTAAGTAAATTTACAAGCCTGTACTTTGTTACTTTTACTTGAGTAAAAAAGTTTAATCAATACTTCCACTTTTACCAGAGTATTTTTTAACACAAGTATCTATACTTTTACTCAAGTATGGAAAGTGAGTACTTTTGCCATCTCTGCAAGTAGAGGAAAAACCGGCTGACAGGTGGGCAGGGGATACATTTCACCTTTATTTTCTATTTCCAACGACTCTTCCTTCTTCGATAGTAGAAGGGAAGGCCTCTGATTCGTTTTCAGGGAACATTAATGTTTCTTATTGAGCCAAAGTAATGACAGAGTAGTAAATTTAACCAACTCTTAATGCCAGTACCATTTTAACAGCGGTAAGATAGATGGCTTCTAATTACTCACCTCTAAAAAGACAATCAGAATTTGAACATCAATGCTGCCAAAAAATAGTCTAGTCTGAATGCAGTTCCCGGTATCTGCCTAAAAAAACACTTTCTCTTTCTAATAGAAGGCATGCAACCAGGACCACATCTTTTGTTTCAAAGCTGTATTAATATAAAGCTGGTAACTACGTAAATATCAGGTCAGTTATGCACCAGCAGAATGACATGAACTCATGTAGGTGTTTGTAGAAAGGCTGGACAAAGATGGCATTGTTATAATAAGAGTTTATTAAGTTGATCAAAGCTGCAAGCTGAGTGAAAAAAGTTAACATGCCATCTAATAAAGCGGGATGAAACCCAATATATATCATCACTAGAGAATAATAATGAGACATATTGAAAGCTTTAGGTTTGTATACCATAGCACATAACTTCCAGTATAGTGCAGATATGAGAAAGGTAGCAGGTTAATTCCTATTACCAACAGAGTCTGGTAAATATTTCCGAAACTATCCTTAATACCTTATAAACAATTACAGCAATATTTTTTTTCTGTGCAGTAAAAATATATTAGACAATGAATATATAAAAATGTTCAGGAGAGTAAAAAAAAATTCTCAAGTAGATTCCATCCAATCAAGGCCGATATCTTTCTGATTAGCAATTATACATATACATATATATATATACATATATATATATATATATATATATATATATATATTTTTTTTTTTTTTTTATTCTTTAACCTAACCCTAACTTTGTTTATTGAGTTTTATGGGTTTTTTTTCCAAAACCAGACACAGGTTTACAAACCCACCCAAAATAGAGTCCCAACCTCTAGATAATAATAAAATAAAATAATGACAAAAATAACCATACAAAAAAAGAAAAGAAAATAAACGCAGAGGGAAAAAGATTGCTGAGTAGATAAAAGACACTGTATGCTACTGTAAGGTTGTTTTATAGACACACACACATATACATGTATGTATATACGTAATATATAACGTCTTTTCTACATACCTGAAAAAAGGGTTGCCACACCTTATAAAATTGAACATCTAAGTGTATTTATTCCATTCTCAAATAAAAAGGATAATTTCTGATCCATAGGATGTTCAGTATGAAGTCTAAAATACAGTTGAATTCATATTTTTGCTGGTTATCGGTTAATTTTTACGTTTTTTTATTCTTTGTTGTTATGAATGTTTTATAATAATAAAAAAATATATTTTTGTTTTAACAGACCACGATGAGGGATTTGTCCCAGATGCTGAAGAAGATGCCACAGTACCAGAAGGAGCTCAGCAAGGTGTGTGCATGTGAGCATAGTTGAAGTTTCTTCCTTAGGGTGTAAAGCAGATATTCAGTCTTTTGTTTTTTTGTCGTTTTTAGTACTCCACTCACCTGCAGCTTGCTGAGGACTGCATGAAGCACTACCAGGGAACAGTGGACAAGCTGTGCCGCGTGGAACAGGTGAGGAAAGACCGCCTAAGAAAGTGTTGAGGGGGACCAATGTCATGAAAAGCAATACGAAAGCTGAGTTTGTTGCTGTAGGATTTGGCTATGGGCACCGATGCTGAAGGGGAGAAGATCAAAGACCCAATGAGGGCCATCGTTCCCATTCTGCTGGATGCCAATGTCAGCACATATGATAAGATCCGTATCATCCTGCTGTACATCTTCCTCAAGAACGGTAAGAAAATTGCTAACACAAACAAATTAAGCTGCACAGGGGCAATAAATCTCTCATGTTTTTACTTTTAAATTTGATTGAAATTGAACTGCATTTCTGTCTGGGCTTTGACTAGGCCGGAGACATGATTATTATTTTATCTTAATTGGGTAAAATGTAGGCAAACTTCCATCGCAGTCTCAAATCTGAACTTGTTCTCCATAACTTCTGAAAAAAAAGAAAAAAAAAACTCAGCATGCTGCTGCCACTACCGTGTTTCACTGCAGTGGAATCCTAGCTACCTTCTACAAAGAGCATTTTCAATAAAGGCTAATAAAGTTAGTTTGGGTTTGATATGACCAGAGCTCCTATCACGTTTATTTTGATCAACAACACGGAAGTCCTGCCAGTTGTTGGTGTGGTGGTGATGGGTTCTTGCAGAGTTAATGAAAATCCAAAGTCAACAGAAGCAAACTCCAAAAACAAAATACAGAAAACCAAAAAACCAGGGGACACCAGAGAGAAGCAACACATGGGGAGCTGGTGTAGATTCTCAGTCAGCCAGGTCATTGTCATTCCAAAAAGAGAAAGTAAAAAAAAAATCCCCTGACAAAATATGGATTGGTGTATGCAGTTAATTGCAGTGAGGAATGCTCTGATCTTAATATTGGAGAAACCAAACAACCTCTCCGCAGACGCATGGCCCAACACAGAAGAGCGCCCTCCTCGGGACAAGACTCTGCGGTACATCTACACCTTGTTCACATTTTGGATTAAAAAAAGAGAGGGGTGTGAAGGAAGCCATCTATGTTAGGAAGAAAAACCAACCTTAAACAGAGAGGATTCTAGCTTTCAAACATCTATAATTCAGCGATAGACTTGATTCATTCCCGCTAGCATCACAACCCCAATCCCTGTACAGGAGAGCAGGCTAACAATTCCCTTTATCGACTCCCCTTTCAGAGACTTTATTTTATTTTTTTTATTTTACCTTTATTTTACCCGGAACTCCCTTGAGATAAAATCTATTTTTCGAGGGAGACCTGGCCAAGAGGCAGCAGTACAGTAAGACATATAAAAACACATAAAAACAACATAATAAAATCAATCATAAACTAGACTCTAGAATAACAGTCACAATTCTCTGTGCAAGCGGTTTTCAATAGTGATTTAAAATGCTGTAGCGGAATAAGAGTCCGTAATTGCAGGGAGTTTTGAATATTGTGCCACGACCATGTTGCTGCATAGGAAAATGATGTTTTGCCAAGATCTGTGTTGATCCTGGGGATAGTGAAAAGAACACGACTTGAAGAGCCTGAGTTGTAACCACTGTTAGCTACAGACATGAGGTGACACAGGTATGGAGGGAGTTTACCCAGGATGGCCTTGTAAATAAAAGTAAGCCAATGATGTTGTTTTCTTAGACGGGTATGGGTCTTTGCAGGCTAACAAAAGAAGCCAAACGGGCCCCAATTCCAAAGGGATGGACCCGTTCATCCGTTCCAATTTGCATGTTTTCAAAACAAAAACAAGGTTTTAATGGGCTACTGTATAAAACCTCGAACTCATGGCTATTTCTGACATTTTGAATTGAAAAAGCTTCCTGGATGGGAAGCGAAACATCTTCAAACCTGGAAACACAGTCCAGTGGATTCTTTTTCATTTTTTTTTCTTCTTGAACACATGGAGAGCAAAGCAATGAAGAGAAACCAGCACTGATGGACTGCAGAGGAGGATAATATATTGGAGACAAAACCAGGAGTGGAGTAATCAGTTAATTGGGAGCAGGTGTGGACAGAAGCAGCTAGAAAGGAGCCGAGGGGGAAAGAAACTGGCACAGGGGTCAATAGAGAATAACACAAAAACACAACACTGCCAGAAAACAAATACAAAGACACCAAATTACAGTGAAACTAAGAAGAAACCTAAAAAAGGGCAGAACCCTGACAGTTGGATGCACAACTAATATTTTATTTTGTGCAGCACTTTGGTCAGTCTTTGATTAACAAATAAAATTGGATTGGACTGTGAGGGAACCATATTTTTTGTATGTTATCACTTTAGCGTACCTTTTTTCCTGCTTAACTGTGCTTTAAATTTATCCTGAACAAGTTCCTCCAAAACCTACAGTACACAGCTTTCACACAACACCTGCATTTACACTGAGATTAAGTAACATGCAGAGGTGACTTTAATGGTTGTTAGCTGCTCTAGATTTTATTGCTTGTGTTTGAGTAAAGGGGGCTAAATGACCTGCATTTCATTTGCTTTAAAAGAAAATAAAAAAAAACATGTATTATTTTGGTTCAGCATTAAAGCTATGCAATACTTGTTTTTTGGTTTGTAAAATAAAAACCTCACTAAAAGACGCTGAGCAGTGCTTATAAAAAATTAACAGTGTGCATAACGCATAATGATTTTAAGTTATCAGTGCTGGTTTATTTTATTTCAGTTAAAAACAAAAACAAACAAAAAAAGCAGGAACTAATCTTATATCCAAAAGTCAAGCCTTTAAAAAGGAACCAAGAGATATTTTCATCTTAATGAAACTGGAAAAAAAGATTTAGAGGGTGATGAAATGTTATTTTAAAACCTCGTCTTCAAATGTAATATATTTTCACCCCAGTAGAGCTGAATATATTAAATGCAAACACCCAAATTGTTGCTTTATTAGATTTGATTTGTGTTTGTGTTTCTACAGGTATTACAGAGGAGAACCTGAACAAGCTGATCCAACATGCTCAGATTCCCCCTGAGGACAGTGAGATCATCACCAACATGGCTCACCTGGGGGTCCCCATCGTCACAGATGTATGCTACTTTATTTTTCCTTCTTACTTTTGATTTTTTCATGCTACTTTTTCAGATATATTTGATATAGTTTTCTTGATTCTTTCACCTTTTTGTGTCTCAGTCCACCCTTCGCAGAGGAAAGAAGATGGACAGGAAGGAGCGTGTGAGTGAGCAGACCTATCAGCTTTCTCGCTGGACTCCCCTGATCAAGGACATCATGGAGGTACGGTACAACTACCAGGCTCCTGCGTTCACTGTTCTTGACTTTTATCAATACGCACTTCTTATATTTTTTACAAACTTTCTGAGATCCAAAAGCAGATTTAACATATTGGATTTTATTTGTAAATAATTAACTCCGCCAAGGACATTATGTTTCTAGGAGAGTCTGTGTGCCTGTCCGTCTGTGTACAGGATAACTTGAAAAGTTATTAACGGATTTCAATGATACTTTTACCAAAGGTGCACCTCAGTCCAAGGAACAATCCTTTAAAATTTGGTGATGATCCAGAACACCATCTGGATCCAGGATTTTTTTTTTTACAGTTTCTGTGAATACAGGTATTTACTTAAAGGCATAGTAGAGGATTTTCTATTTCCTGGTGGATCATCAAAATAAGTGGTCCTCCTAATTGTCAATCATTCTGGTGATATGTTTACGTAAGGCTGTCCTACATGCTTGTCCCCATTTTCACTTACCAGTAGTGAGTCTCACATGGTGGAAAATTTGCTAATCTTTTTTTGGAAAGTAAGCTTGTATGAGCAATGCAAACAACAACATTTAAACATCGGACGCATTTAATAGGCGTTCCTTCTCGGGAGTGGGTACAGGGTTGTGCATGAGCATTTTTTTTAACTGGAGAAGGCGGGTCTTTTCAAAGATTTGCGAAAATTCTTTACTATACCTTTAAGGTGGAAGTCACAATATGTTTTGGAGAAATTAGCAACTTGGCAGAGGTCTGAGCTCTCCAAGTGCTTTTCTAGTTTCCTATTACTTTTATTCTCTTTATAAAGTAGCATTTTGGATGACTAGCTTTTAAAAGCAATGTAATAGCAAAGTGATATTCAAATTCTAATACCTTTCTGTTCCAATTAGTGCTTTAAACTTGCGTGCTTGGCTTTGGGTCTCAAGGAATTCCTGTTTCATACAAACACATCACATCCCTCGCAACTTTTACCTCGTAAACAAACTATTTAAAGTCAGTATTCCTAAGTCAGTCCAAAATGATGTGTTTGATTAAATTACTAACTACTTAGCTTGCTGGCTATATATATATATATATATATATATATATATATATATATATATATATATATATATA